ATACTTCAAAGTTTTTTCAAGAGTACAAGTCTGAAGAGTCATTCTAAAGAGTTAGCTCACCCGAACTCTAGAGTCTGCTTTTCAGACTTAGCTCACTCAAACTTTGAAGTCCTTTTTTTTTCAGACTTAGAAGTCTGAACTCTGATTTAGTGGGAAAGATTTTATACTTTAGGGTTTTTCAAGAGTACAAGTCTAAAAAGTCATTCTTCAGAGTTATTTCCAAATTACAAGTCTGAAGAGTCATTCTTCAGAGTTAGCTCACCTGGACTCTAAAATCTTTTTTTCTAGATGGAGCACCATGCAGAGCCTCTTCATAGTGCATGCAGAGCTTCTGGCTTGCCTATACAGAGCTCTGAAGTCTGAAGAGTTTTTACTTCAAAGTTATTTCAAGAGTACAAATCTGAAGAGTCATTCAAAATTTACTTCTAAGTTTAAATTCAATTTACTGATATAGTTTTATTTCTAAATTTAATTTTATTACAGGGTTAACTTCATTTTAACTAATTATTGATATAGTTTCATTTCTATATGCAAGTCTGAAAAGTCATTATTCAGAGTTATTCTTCGGTATTATATTTCAGAGTTATTTCAAGAGTACAAGTCTGAAGTAGCATCGTAGCATCATACTTTCAATGACCATTCATATATATTATATATATATATATATAATATATATATATATATAGATATATATTATAGAGCGGCATTTACAATCACTCTAGATTATACAACCGATGCATCTCACTTATCTACAATCCATTTTTCTTTTTTGTTTTATTTTTTTAATTAAAGTTAGTTGCAACCGATCAAATGTTAATCGTTGATGATCAAATGTACGCTCTTGATTTGGTTGGAAAGGGTTGTAGAAATGTAAAGGTTGCATAATAATAATCCACCTTTTATATATATGTATATGTATATGTATATGTATATGTATATGTATATGTATATGTATATGTATATGTATATGTATATGTATATGTATATATATATATATGTGNTATATGTTTATGTATATATACATATATATATATATGATGCTTAAATTGTCAAAGTCGCAAATGTTAAACCGCATATGTATATATATGAATAAGGAAAGGTTCGTTTGAGAAGTGATAAGTATTTGGGAAGTAAATAAATGATCATAGCCCTTCATCAGGTAAACATTTGCGACTTTGATTGCTTAAGCACTGGATAATTTCTCGCATGGGTATGCGGAAGATAGAGAGGTAGTTTTGTAACTTTTACAAATAGGCGGCAAATGAGTTTATATATGAACCTGTGTGATTCATATATGAATTTGTTAGTTAGTTTATATGTTAATTAGTTCATATGTGAATCATAATGGTTCATTTGTGAATTAATTAATTAGTCCATATGTGAATCACACGTATTCATGTGTGAATTAGTTAAAATAGTTCATATGTGAATTACACGAGTTCACATATAAACATTTAGTTCATATATAAATCATATAGATTCATATATGAACTCGTTTGCCACTTATTTGTAAAAGTTATGAAATTACCCTCTCTATTTTTCTCATAGTCGCAATTTTTGAACAGTTATAGCCGTAATTATTGACTAGTCAAAGCCACGATTATTGACCACTCAAGTCCGATCTTAACCGTATAAATAGCTAAAATCACTTCTTTACTTCCCAAATTTACCACTTATCCATATAACCTATGGATATATATATATATATATATATATAGGGACATTCTTTTGAGAACTCATGAAATAGTGATAACCTTGAGAACTTGTGCACCATGTGTTATTTTATATGATCTATTTTCCGTCTAATAGTAGGATTTAAAATTAACACATATTTGTTTCACAATTCACTTATTTCACGTATACTCGTTTCACAACGTGAACACTTTTGGCATGTTTATGAAACAAAAAATACATATAAAAAAGTTTCATATTGTAAACCGAATAAATATGAAATAAATATATCATAACTAATACATTAAATACAATACTTAGACGGATAAAAATCATGTACAACAAGACATTAAGGTAGTTCTCACCGATCTCACAGATTTTGAAGTTTTCTAGTAATTAACTATATATATATATATATATATATATATGTAGACTTGGGATCACATGAGACCAGCCTATTTTCGTGAGATCCGTGAGACCAGTTTTTTACACTTGAAACTTCATAGCAAAATGCTGTGAAGGTAACCTTCACAGTGTTTTTGCTGTGAAGGTTTGACTTTTTTAAACTTTCATAGTGTTTTTGCTGTGAAGTTTCAAGTGTAAAAATGTGGTCTCATGAAAACAGTCTAGTCTCACGTGAACCCAACCCTATATATGTATATATATATATATATGCATATATATATATACAGGGAAGGGTTCAAACGAAAACCCCTGTAATTTACGAGAACGCGAGAACAACCCAATAACCTCATATTGTGATAAAAAATAAAATTAAAAGATTTTTAAAATTAAAATTGAAATTTAAAAAGATTTAAAAAATATTAAAATTAAAAGGGTAATAATGGAAATGATATCATCAAATCTTTTAACAAGATCATGATTATCATTATCTAATAAACGGTTAAGAATTCAAGGAGACTTAGAAGTCGTAACATCAAATCGCAAAACAACAGTAATTGACTGTAATCGACCAAGAACACACGAACCCTAATCGAACAAAGAGAAGCTATTACATGCAACAATCGATCAACAAGAAGAAGTTTATTCAAGGTATCTTTCACAATTACTCGTTTTGAACATGTTTTTAATCGATTAGTTGTGATAATCATGTGATATCAATGTCACTCGACTTGATCACGGTTTCAATGGGTTATGTTAGACATTATCACAACGATTTCGGATGGTTTCGATAGGTTAGGATTAGACTAGGTGTGATAAACATGTGATATACGTGTGATAATCATATGATATGAGTGTGATAATCATGTGATATCACTATCATAACAACGCACTCGATTTGGTCATGGTTTCAATCGGTTAGGGTTAGACAATCACACATTTATCACAACGATTTCGGATGGTTTCGATAGGTTAGGATTAGACAATCACACATTTATCACAACAATTACGGGCGAAATCCACTAAACGATTTGGTGTGATATGTGTGTGATAATCATGTGATATAATTATTATAACAACGCACTCGATTTGATCATGATTTTGATCGGTTAGGGTTAGACAATCACACATTTATCACAACAATTTTGGATGGTTTCAATAGGTTAGGATTAGACAATCATACATTTATTACAATGATTACTCATGTGATATTACTATCATAACAACACACTCGATTTGATCATGGTTTCGATCAGTTAGGGTTAGACAATCATACATTTATCACAACGATTTCGGATGGTTTCGGTAGGTTAGAATTAAACAATCACACATTTATCACAACGATTACGGGTGAAATCCACTAAACGATTTGGTGTAATATGAATGTGATAATCATGTGATATCACTATCATAACAACGCACTCGATTTGATCATGGTTTTGATCGGTTAGGATTAGACAATCACACATTTATCACAACGATTTCGGATGGATTCGATAGATTAGGATTAGACAATCACACATTTATCACAACGGTTACTCATGGTTTCGATAGGTTATGGTTACACTCGATTGATTATGGTTTTGATAGTTTATGGTTACACAATCACATAATTATCACAAGAGAAGAGATTATCACAAGGGAAGATAAGATAGTGGAAATGAACGTGCAGAAAAAAAGGATAATTATAATTAATTAAAATAAAATAAAAATTATAAAAATTACTTAATTAMATTACTGCCCTTATTAATTTATTATTATTTAATATAAGTTGATTTATTAATTAAAAAGGTTTGATGTTATTGGGTTGTTCTCGTGTTCTCATAAATCACAGAGGTTCTAGTTTGAACCTCTACCTATATATATATATATATATATATATATATATATATATATATATATAATAGGCGAAATATCATGTAAGAATGAGAGTTAAGATAAGAAGTGTAAAAAGAGTGTTGGACCATTGATCACCTTTAATCTCAAACTTACTCATGAATCACGTTGATATACGGATTGATCCGGTGTATCTTAGTGTATTTTATCCTATTGTGCATCTAAGAGTGAAACATTATGTTAAATCATATCAAATAAGAAACACAGAAAAATTTACGAGCCTGTGAGAACCGATATAAAAATATCTTTTTATATTTTTTTTTTATCAAAAGCTACGATTTAACATAATGTTTTACATATGTTTGTGTTTAACTTATAAAAAAATTGTATGTTAAACTTTTTTTTACTTAGTGTAATGAAAAATACACATAAAATATATTCATATGGTGAAATTATCACATTATGAAACAATATGTTAAATCATGTCATTTGATGAAAAAAGATATCATATAAAATTTATTTTTAAATTGGTTCTCACGGAGTTTATAACCTTTTTGTGGTTCTCATTTGATTTAACATATATATATATATATATAAAAGGTAGGGTTCTGGTGATAATGAAAGTTATGTTGAGAAGGGTAAGAGATCTTCATCCTTAGATCAATATTAATTGAAGAGAACCACTAGATTAATTCTCTTTCAGAGCACAATTTATGAGTTGTTTTGGGATTAAAAGTAATCAAAAGTCCAAGTATTTTTTACACTTCTCATCTTAACTTTTATACTCACACGATTCTTCGTGTGTGTATGTATATAGCGTCAAGTTAAAAGGAAAACTACAAAAAAATGAAAGCCGGAGAACACTTTTATAACCGTTCATCTGTAAAATATGCACATGTACACACAAATAATTTGTAAGTAATTTTTTCAGTATATATATATATATATATATATATATATATATATATATATATATACATGCATATGTGTATCGTTTTAAATATTTATTTACACATATACATACCATACATATAAACGATAATTAGGATGTTTCTACGGTTTTTCATTTAAGAGTTTTCCCATGAACTTCTTATTTCAATCTTGATCGAACCTCGTATTGCACCCAACAATAGAAGAGTAATATTTTTCTTTTGTATTATTTAAGTATACATATTTCAAGTGATTCGAGATCGTATTGAAGGCAGAAAAAACACATTTTCAGATGGTCTAACAACGAAGATTATCGCCGGGTGTAACGCCAAGTTGGTTGCAATACTCGGTGAAGTAGCGAACACGAGCACTTACGGTGTCTGGATTAGCACCATCACATTCGAGTCGTCCATTGATGGCTCGGATAGTGGCTCCAAACCCTTGGCTTAATACTGACTGAACATTGGTTGTCCAAAACCATAACGCAGTCCGGAAAGAGATTACGGCATTAGTGGCCACGATTTCAGGATTGCCCAGCCCATCGAACCCAATGCTCTGTCCGGCTGGACCGTAGTTGAAATTCCACGTCAGTTGGATCGGACCTCTACCGTAGTAAAGCTTGCTAGGGTTACATGGGTATTGAGTAACAGTTTCGTCACAGTAATCTTGCGAAGCTCCATTTATTTCTTCGATGAAACAAAAATCTGTTCATGCATAAAAATTAAAGTCAATTAGATGATCATTCCCATGTACATGATAACAATTTCAAATTTTCAACTTCCATGATCAAATTAAATAATAAGCAAACTTGAAGATCGGTCTTACGTCCGGTTTCATGGGTGACATGAGCGAAGAACGCTGCGATCTCCCGCCTCGAATCTTCTTCAGAACCGACTCTACCGAATTGGGGATGGTTTTCCACGGCTTCAAGGAAGGCGGCACGTGTATAGAACCCTCTTCCGACACAACCGCCGTCCGATTGGTCCACTATCCCATTGAAGAATGCATCTGTCACGATGCTAGCAATCGACACGTCATTGGTCGGAGAAGATCCGAAACACGGCCCTTCCTGGCAGCCGGTGCCACAGTATGTCTCATCGCTGCCACAATAACCGAACTGGCTACAGCACAAGTCCGGACTGCAGCCGCAGTTCTGGGCGGTGATGTGGAGGATTCCGGCGAAAAGTAGGCCGACGAAAATGAGGATTGAGAGTGTTTTCATGGTGGTTTAATTGTATGATTGAATGAGTGGGGTATTGGAGGTGCATTTATAGTGCGTGGGAAAAGTGTGCATACATGAGAAGGTGGGTATGGGAGAAGAACGGTGTCGTTTCTTTGAACTGGTATCCAATTTGACTTTTGACGAAATAGCTCTTCTTTGAACTGGTATCCAATTTGACTTTTGACAAAATAGCTCGACTTTGAAAATTGGTATAATGTAATAATGCTACTCAATTATGTGTTCTTTAACTTTACTTTTTGACTTGGTAATATTAAATCAAAAATAAGGTGACGGTTAATTTGAGTTCCTATAAGGCATTTCAAAAAGCAAAGTGTTATTTCAGTAAGATATATTTAAAATAGAAGATGTAACAATAGATACATGTACGGCTTTACATAGAAATTATAAGAAAAAACAAACATTATTTAAATAGTTGATCATGATTAAGCTATTAAGCTTTTTAAATGGTATCAACAAAATATAAGTCCATGGGTGGAAAAATGTATACTAAGATGGGAAAAATTAAGATTGGATTTACTTGCATATATCTTACAAAGTTTGTGGATATAAGCTAAGCCACATATTTAGAAATCTCTTTATGCAAGGCTGGATTTACGGTTAGTGTACAAACCGTATTGAAATGAAACTAACTTTTATCTTATTTTTATTTTGAAGAACCAACTTTTAAAATTTTGAATTTAGAATATGGAAGAAACTTTACAAATGGCATGGATATTATGAATCTTTCTTTTCGTCATGTCATTTAGAGGTAACCAGTTACATGATGAGCATGTGAACGAGACCCTTAATAAATATATATAACAAAACTTTCCTCCACGTCTCATAATAAAGATTTTAGAAGTTGCTTTCTCAAAATAGCAATCATGTTAAAGTTGATTTCATTTTAATATAATTTTCTAATAAAAGATATGTTACAAATCTTGTCATTATACTTTGCAAATCTTGTGGTTTAGTTAGAAATGACAAAATCTTCATTGTGGTTTACGTTTTGCTGTCTATTTGGTCCATGGTTGTCAAGTGAACCCACATCCTTAGCATGCGACGGTAATTTAATTCTTTTACCCTTGTGAAAAATGATATGGTAGATAATATTAATTTAGAAATATTTATTAATGGATTTTATGTCTAGGAATAATAAAGAAAATGGTTTTATATAAATTATTAGCATTTATTGAACTCAATGTTTTCCGATTATAAAAACTATATATTTACAAAAATTGTACTTATCAAAGTTCTTTTTTTACATTTCATATATGGTCTATAATATGTCATGAACAAACCTGGCCAATATGGTTGATATTTTAGGTTTATGGTTTCAATAGTTTTATGTTTCCTCTTCGATTGTTCAATGGTGTGAGATTTGAATCTTAATTTCATATAAGTTGAGTCAAACGTTGAATAAGATTTTTCATTCATTTTAGAAAGAAAAGTCAATATTTCTAACTACGACCACCACAACTTCCATTCGGTTATCGTGTATATTCTTAGTGTAATTTGTGATATTGGGTGCTAAGGAATACATACAAGTGATGTTAGATATAGGGATCCAGAGACAATATATCTAAGAATTGTGAATTGTCACTGTCCAAATACAATAATTCATCTCTTAGTGCCTTGGGTATCATAATTATCGTTTGGGAATAATCCAAGAGAAACTCCTTATCTCAAAGGCTGTGAGATAGAGTCCTTACATATACCTCGATTCTCGTTTACATATTTATATGAGAGATCACAAGTTATAGACGGTTATAACCGTTATTGGATAAGATGAAATAACAGTTACAACTGTATCAAAACTCTAATTGTACTGAGTCTAAAGGGTTGTTTCATTCGTTTACCATTAGAACATGTATGGATATAGATGTCTGTATGATAAAAGATAAACAGTTGTTCGTTTGTTCTGCTGAATAAACAGTTTAAATGTCATAAATAACTATTTACCCTTAATGTTTGTATTTTGTTTCATTAAACTCATCTCCTTATTTTGGAAAATGTATGTACCTTCTTCCGTGTTGCAACCCATCTCCCTCACCTGCCATTAAACAATCACCAAAACTATCACATCCCCTTTAGTCCGTCCCAAGCCGTTACATGCTTTCAATTTTATTTATTTCTCTAATTTTCCAAATCACCACCAAACTACAAACAAATTCCATGGCTTCAAAATTCTAACTACACTAATCTCAATAAGTCATACCGTCATTGAACCTAAAAAAAACTCTAAAATTCCAAAATGTTTTTTTACAACAGTTAATCTGAACAGTTACTAATGGGGGAAGCATGAGACTGAATTTGCCATTGTGGTGGTTTCTATTAGCATCCTGCGTCTTATCCTCCAACAATGGTGCGACCCTTTAAGGATATGAAACCACCGGTGATTAATTGAAGTCCCTCATGAACCTAGCATCTTTTCCTTCACGAACCTGACATGGAAAATATGGTTTTGAGTTCTGCACATTCCAGTCAGATAGTTCAAGGCTCGCAGGCTCTTGATGTGAAGATGGAGATAGTTCAAAGATCTGAAGTTGGTGTTTTAGGTTTCAATATCTAACTCTTAGTGTTGGTGTTGAAGTTCTTGAAGATGATGAATGGAGGTAAGGAGAGAAAACTTAAATTAAGAACTAAAAAAGAATACAAAATTGAGAAAAATAAATCATCAAACTTCATTTTTCATGTTTTTTTCTTTGGTGGCCGGATTTTTTCTTTAGTGTGATGCAGCCGGAATGTGAAGATAAAGTTTCAATACAAAAGGTTTTATGATTTGGGGATGAAGATGAAAAAGGGTGGAAGGCAAAAGAGGAATAAAGGGGTTGAATACAAAAGACTCTACTTTCTTAGCTGACCAAATAAGTCATTGACTGAGCGAATAAGCCATAACCAAACAGTTATTTATTGTTAAGCGAATAAGCCATATAGGCTATATAGCCTATTAAGTCACAACCGAATAACCCATAAGTCTGATTGCCTAAGCTATAGCTCCGGTTGCACAGAGGCATGGCAACGGGGCAAGGATGGGGCGTGTTTTGTAATTCCCGGCCCCGGTTTGTAGTAACATCCCCCACCCCCGGTCCTCGACGGGTATGGGGATTAACATCCAATCCTCGGTCAAACCCCATAAATAATATCATTTAATTTGATTCTACTGGGGATCCCCAACCCCGTCCCCGTCCCCGGTTTGAGTCTACCAGGGATTCCCGGCCCCAGGACCCGTTCGGGTCGGCTGAACCGGGTTCCCCACTAGGTTGGGGCAAATCACTATCCCTACACAGACTTTAAGTCTGATTGCACAGATCTTAAGTCGATTACACATATCAGATTTTAGACTTAGTCTAAATTCATCCAACTTCAGGAACAATTTCAAGAAGGTTTCCATCCTTCTAAAATTCGTTCTGATCTTCTTAAAATCCACCGTCGTAGACCAATCACTACAATAAAATCGGGTTTATAGGACGCCAAAAAAATTGAAGTGTCATAATAGACCGCTTTATAGGACTTAATTTATAGGACCAATAAATAAAGCGTCATATCTAAAATTGTCGTAATTAGTTTATATGAAGCTTTTGGACGTTTTAGCAAACTTTTAGGACACTTTTAACACAAAAGCGTCGCATTAGCAATTTTATAGGACATTCAGAGGTGGACCATGAGACTTATAACCGAGGGGGCCAAAACTTATATTTTTTTATAGATATACCATGTAAACATGTAGTGTTTGATATATGGATTTTTTTTAACCAAATTTTATATAGATTATAAACGTAGGTTAAAGGCGACCAAGATTTATTTAGGCTTGTCGAATTGTATCTTGTTCTAGCATCCCATATTAATTTCGTTACAACCGGATGTGATCCAAAGTAAACGCTCTTAGAATCATAGTTTCCTTGTGTTTTACATACGTAACATATATATAATTTTGAAAATTTCATGGCGTCCAACATTCTACTACAACAAAATTGGCTTTATACGACATCTGATATATTATCTAAGCATCCTAATAGAATAAATTATAGATCTTAAGTTTATAAGACCAAAATATAGAACACCATATCTAAAACCATTACAATAGGTTTCTAGAACATTTTTAAGCGTTGTAACAAGTTCTTTAGGACGCTTTAAAATAAAGTGTTCTATTAGCTATTTTATCGAACACTTTTTACAAGTATCCTATAAACCCGTTTTATAAAATAGTTAATACGATACTTTATTATAAAACCGTCATAAAAAACTTGTTGCAACACTTAAAAACGTCTTATAAACTTATTGTAACATTTTTAGATATGACGCTTTTTGATTTGGTCTTATAAGCTTAAGTTCTATAATGTATTTTTAAGACACTTCTACATTTTAAACGTCCTATAAAATTAATTTAGTTATAATGATTTTAATAAGAAACTGAAATATTGTTTGGATATTCTTAAATTGATCTTCCTTAAAAGTGATCGTTCATTTACCAAATCCAGTTACATTGTTTTAGGTCTTCTAGTCAAGCTCAATAATATATTTTATGGAATTTGATCTCAATCCGTTAATTCATAATCTTCTAATCCATGAATTAACATGTTTTAAAAATAAAGTGTCATGTTAATTAACACGTTTTTAAAATAAAGTGTCTTGTTATAGGACACTCTTGAAAATTGTCTTATGAACCCATCTATTTATAGGACATTTGTATTTATAGACCAATTTTTCAAATAACGTCGTATAAAATAGTTAATATGACATTTTATAAAATGTCTAAAAACACCTAAAATGCCTAAAAATGCCAAAAAAATCCTATGAACCTATTGTAACAATATTAGATAGAACGTTTTTTGGTTTGATCCTATAAAGTATTTTTCTAGAACGATTCTACATTTTAGGTGTCCTATAAATCATTTTTAGTGATAATTAATATTTTATAACTATTGATCTTACATTGGTTGTTTCCTTGGGTATAAAAAGCCCATTTTGAAAAAAAAAAAAAGCAAAACTTGGGTTCTCATTTT